ATTAAATATAAATAAATATATTAACAATAAATACAACTAAATATGATTAAAAGAATTTATCCAAAATTTCTTTCAGTTCTAATTATGATAAAATTATACTCATTTGTGTTTTTATACGAAACGTATGAATCTGACAGAAAAAATGTGGCTCTGCCTCGCAAAATGAGATTATTATTGATTATGACATGACAGGTTTTGTAACCTCAATAGTGGTAAACTTTCACGACTTAATATTTTGCTTCGTCGGACAGAACCACACTTAAAAAAAAGATCTGATAAAAAATCAGATTCTTCAAACGAGCATAATTTTATCAAAATTGGAGTAACTGAGCAAGGTCTGTTGGATAAATACCTTCGGTGATAACTTGACTTGAACTCGCTACTTTACAATTCAAGGCACTTCTTACCATATATAGAAATGTCGCTACTGAAAGTAACGCCACCGACGAGATATTATTAAAGACTGACATCTTTACGCGAGTTGGCATTCTTGTGAATATTGAAGTAATTAAGAGTTAAAAATTGATAATATTGTACTAATTTTATGATTTATTAATTTAGTGGACATATTTATGCATTTAGAACTCAATAATACTCGATTTTTCTTTAAAATTACAATTTCAGTGCTATCATCAAAGTTTGATTATGAGAAATCATAACTGCAGAGAAAAAATTGTAATTTTTCTGCAATATATAGAATATTATAGCTTTACAAGTATGCATATTTATTTATGGTACATTTATGTAATAAAAAATCATTAATTTAATAATGTATGAACCAAATATTTATGTTAATAATAGCAAATTTATATCAATTGTCGATAATGTCAGCGTTCTTCGTTTACATTGACAGTCTTTAATAGTATCTCGTCGGTGCTTTAGCCTTGCGAGTGGCTCCGCACAATAAAAGGAACAGAGCATAAGAATTTCAACCTATCAGAAATCATGTATTGTAAAATACAGTTTCTGATAGGTTGAAATTCTTTTTATTGTGTGGAATCCCTGACACTAGAGAAAAACCTGGGGGTTGAGTGTAGATTTTGAAAGGAGGTGAAAATTACAAAAGTGAGCAAAGGTTAGTAGGTATTGACAAATTAAATTATGAATATTCTAGTATATTTGCTTTTTGTAATTTTCACCTTATTTGAAGATGCACAATCGATCTGCTGGGGTTTAACTACTGGCCGCAGTACAGACTCTTGCATAATGCAAAATGCATAGTGCATAAGGGAATCAACCAATTGAAATTCTGCTTTTCTATGGAATGGAAGGAAGAGAAAAATTCTGATTAGTTGATTTGCCTTTGCAGTATGCGTTATGCGTTATGCGTTATGCAAACCAGCCGTCTGCGGCCTTAAATCCTCAGGATAGAAGCGTGTCGACTATCCATAGAAGAGATAAGTGATCAGAGGTTTCTCTCTAGTGCTATAATGAAAGTAACAAGTATATTCGTACACAGGAAACTTGATTAATTGCCATATAAATTCACCATATGTAATAGTCAACTACTTTCAAATAAGTTGCAATTGTGTGAAACTTTTCACTTTTCCGGATAAAGGATAAAGTTACATGATCGGTCTCCACGAGTATACAAATTTTTTAAGTCCGTTAATTGATTAGGATACAGAAATCCGAAGATTTCGATCTTTTTTCAATGACTTTTGAAAACGCACTAATCATGCGGACGCTCAAATATTTAATATTTACTATGAAAAATTTTGTCTTTTCACGGAAATAAAAGAATTCAATTTTTTTCATTTTATGAAGAAAAATATACACAGTACAAGGTGTTGATAAAGACATATATTTGGCTTTTTTTTTACTTATTTTATAAATATATAAATAAATATGTATATATATTTATAAATATATAATAATTACTAATATAGTAATCATGATCACATATTTTGATATAAATAGGATCAAGATGGACATTTAAAAAAGAATCGTTAATTTAAATTGTATTTATTAATACTATCAGGCAGTAAATATTACAGTGATTTTATTTTTAGTTTTACATTGATTGTTTCTTGATATTAATAATTAATGACATTTATCCTATTTATCAGAAGATGAATAATTAAAAACCTAAATATAAATGTATTCAGTAAAGCAGAAAATTCGACTTGAATCTAGAACAGCAAAGTAACAAAAATTCGATATTATATCAATATAAGATAGTAT